TTCCGCGCCAGCCCGACCCGAGGCGAGACTCGGAGCCAGGGCCCAAGGGAGGAGAAGGCCGCGCCGGGGAGCAGGAGGGCGAGCTGAGCGCTGGGCCTCGCGCCAAGCCCGGGGAGGCCGTGGTGCTGGAGGAGACTGAGCCAGGTAAGTCCGCAAGGCCTGGGGACTCCAGGCGGGCTGGGCTGTGACCGGAGGGAGAGACTGACAGGCCCAGGGCTTGTGGACTGGTCCAGAGCGAACCTCGGGGAGCTCGGGGTGCAGGGATGCTGCATCCCATCGTGATTTCCAAAGCGCCCCACCCTATCCCCAGTCACCCGCACGGCCTTGGGGATGAACCCTGAGCCTCAGCGCGGGGCGGCACGCTATTTCTACACCCGCTGGACTCACCTGGCACCGAGCTTTCGGCCCTGCAGCACTCCCCGGTGCAAGGTGAAAATCACCACCCGGACTCACCAGGGCCGTGCTGCCGCTGACCCGAAGCAGCTGCAGGTTATTCTTGGCGATTTCGAAAATCCAGAGTAATTTATCAGAATGAATACATTAAGGTTTGACCAGCAAAAAGACTCCTTTTGCTTCCCAATCCCATGAGCAGTGAAACAGCACGAGTGGGTGTTCCCTTGGGTCTTCAGGAGACGAACACGATTGGAACGAAGAGAGAAGACTTACTTTCTTTACCCTACTTCGGAAACCTCCTTTAGGGAAAGGGGGATTAAAGGCGGAGAACGAACTGCCCTGCCGCTCTCCCACCGCACAGGCCCTCCCCTGCACACCCCGGTGCTAAGGCAGGACGCCTTTTGCTCACTTCGTCAGGCGTTATTCCTCCGGGTCATCCCTGCCGCCCAACCCAGAAGCCCCATTTGATTCTTCTTGGCAGTATGGCAGTGTATCATGAACTGCCTCTAATTTCGGGAGCTTGCTGAGTATCAGAGCACGATACACTGTATGCAGAGGAACTTCTTCCTCGCTCCAGAGAGAGGTCATGTGAAAACAGTGAAATGTAGCCAAGATGACTGTGGGCTGTTTGTTCACTCCCTGAAAAGATAAGGATGGATTGGATTCTGTTCTGGCTTCGGCTAACATGTAACTTTTTTCTTCCCGCCCCTCCTTCTCCCTTCTGTGTTCCAGATAGGCATCTTGACACCGATCTGTTGGACTGTGAAAACACTTCCTGCACCTTACCTGGCCCTCCCCAAAACCCCAAGCAGCCGCAGAAGCGCTCCCGGGCAGCCTTCTCTCACACTCAGGTCATCGAGCTGGAGAGGAAGTTCAGTCATCAGAAGTACCTGTCAGCCCCAGAGAGGGCTCACTTGGCCAAGAACCTGAAGCTCACGGAGACCCAAGTGAAAATCTGGTTCCAGAACAGACGCTATAAGACTAAGAGAAAGCAACTCACTTCAGACCTGGGAGACCTAGAGAAGCATGCCCCCTCGCCAGCCCTAAAAGAGGAGAGCTTCTCTCGGCCCACCGTGGTCTCCATGTATAGCAGCTACCCTTATCATCCCTACCTTTACTGCCTCGGCAGCTGGAGCCCAGCTTTCTGGTAATGCCAGCTCAGATGGTAGCCGCGTATGATTTCAAACTGCCTTCCCCAGATGTCTCTCTGAAAAGCAAAAGGGGCCTGAGGTCAGGGAGCTCCAGGGAGGAAAAGATATACAGCCCCAAGCTGTCTGAGGTTTCCATGGAAATTCCAGATTCTTTACTAGAGGCCAGATGAAAGAGCTGGGACAGTGCATATTTTAATATGCATGTTGTTCACAATTCATACTAGAGATCATTTTTGCCTTTAGTTACCTGTCTGCAGGGGGGAGAGACCAAATCAGGTGCCATTTCCAGCATTCTGTGCGATTTTGGATGAACTGGCCATCTCTGGACGACTTGGTTGCTACACCTCTAGCCTTCTGTATAACTGAGTATCAACTCGGAAAGAGCAATCTCAAGGGAGAAGGCACGGCAAGATAAGGATGTTGCCTACTGTATTCAACTTCAGTTCAAAAGCCTCTTACTGGCTTTGGAGTTTGACCAAGGTTTCTCTCTGTCCCCGTAAAAAAGAGGGGAGATAAATTATCTCAAAGAAAAAAATCACTCACGCTCAGTGTAGACTGGCATGGGCTATGGAGAAGGAGGGGAGAGATGAAAATATCAGTTTCTTACTCCTTTTAATAGTATGCCGATTTACATATTTACAGGGTGGCCCAGGTAGAACAAGATGCATTTGCGGTGGTCTTAAGACAAGCTGTACAAACGGAACTCTACTGCACAGGGTGGGGTCATGCCAGAAGATTCTCTGCATGTTCGAGACAGAGACCTAAGGGACATCTCTTTATTGTGGCAGGGGGTCATTGAATTAGTTTATTAGCAGAAGATCTTCTGAACCTTTTTGCCCTGGGCCAGAGGACGTAGAAGGTTCCTGAAGTTTTCAGGGTATAATTCAAGCTGTATTACGACAGGTAGCATAATACTTTACCATAGAGTCGGTCCTTCCCTGTTTTTGTTTGGTCTGTGCATTTTCTACACCAGTCACACTTAAGGGCTTCTTTTTAGTCTAGTCTTCTTTTTTTTTAGAGATTTTTTTTTGTCATATGGCGTGTGTGCTTGCCAGAGAGCCAGAGAAACAAGAAATCAACCCCTGGGGGGCATGGCCATGCGGCAATCCTTTCTCCTCCATTCTTATTTTGGGATGAGCACGCACAAGCACACACACGCCTGGTGTGCGTTTTAAGCCACTGGGTCTGGGACTCGAACTGCGGTTGTGGGAGTCCAGTAATGTAATCATTACAGCATCGGCTGGTCCCTTTACTCTGGTCTTTTAATCTGGTTACACCTAACTTATGCCTTCCTTATTTAGCCTGTGATCGATCTGCCTCCCACTTTTCTCCCGCTCCTCAAAGCTTTATCTGTCCTGGGTTAAAAAAAAAGGGGGGGGAGGGGCAAATCCTGAATTGGCTAAAAGAAACACATTTTTTTAAACCAGCAGCTCATTTCTTTAAAAATATACAGCATTAAATTCTAAATCCTATTTAAAGACCTGACAGCTCAAGAAGGTCATTGCTGCTTTTATAAAACTTTCTGGTGGCTCTGTTGTTTGGATTCAAAGTCCGACAACCTTCTGGAATCCCTGCAGGCAGAGGAGGTAAGAGGTGTTGGGTTTTTGTATAGAAGGAAGGACACAGTGGAGAATGAAGGCCTGCTGTCCTGGAACCACCTGGTGCGAATCCAGGGCGCATGCATGCGCAGGCCTGGCGCAAAGGGAGCTGAGGCCTCAGCACCTAGTGCCCTGAGCAGTCGAAGGGGCTGATGCACTTTGCAGGAAGAGGCGGAGAAAGCCGAAGCAGTTTCAAAACACATCGTTGTGGCTCCCATCACCAGATAAAGAAACTATCCACATGTTTGGGGGGGCTACGTTTAATGCCTATAACGGGTCCCTCAAATGAGTTACCTGACTGCAGAGAGAGTGAACAGGGAGAAGGGGGATGTGGTTGCCTTTCCACTTTCATCTTACTATCTCAGGTGACTTAGTAGAGGGTAGACTTCAGGGGGAAAAAGTAATGATGAGATAGAGGGTAGACTTCAGGGGGAAAAAGTAATGAGACACCCTGAGGCCTGGAAGTCTCTTGATCCCACTACTTAATTCTGTTTCTCTAGGAACCTTTCCGTTTTCTTCTATTAAAAGGACCAATTTGCTATTGGTAGCAAACAACCAAAGTTGACAGAATGTTGGCCAGTTTTACCCCATTTTCTTTTTTCTTTTTGTTTTGTTTTTGTTTTTGCCAGAAAGAGACAGAGACAGACAGAAAGGGAAAGTAAGAAATCAGCCACCCACTATCCTTGGTTGGATGGCCATGCCATCATCCCTTTTCCTCTATTCTCCTCTTGGGATTTTGGGCACACACTTATATGCAACTGGCATGATTTTCAAACCACCAGGGAGGGGATTTGAACTGCAGTCTGCCAGGTAGGAGTCCAACACCTTAACCACCATGCCACTTGCTGGCCCTTACTTCATTTTCTATGGTTTGGGCTCTAAGTTGAAATATTGTTAAATGTTACATGCTACTGACACTTCTACCACGGTAACAGCAAAAAAAGAGCAGAGAAGCCTCCATTGCGTTCTCCCTTACGCATTTTTAACAATAAGCATTCAGTGCTCACTCTCTACGCAATACTCTTTCTTGCTCTACCCTCTAAATTTATTTTTTTTTCAAACTGCGGTTCTGCAAGGATTCAACATTTCACTGTGATATATATTGTGTTGCCAAAAAAAAAAAAGTGTTTGAAATTACTTGGTTGATGAAACTATCTTTCTTTTCCTAGTTATTAGTGAGTCATTTATTAGAATTAGTCATTTGCCCATATCTAAGCTGGTAGAAAAACTAGTCTATCAGTGTCTGACAGGTGAACTGGACAGTGCCCTGGACCCTTTTACCCAGACTACCAGCTTCTAACTTGTTTAATAAATTAGCTGGGGTTCCCCACGTGCACAACAAACCCTGCTTGGACTATAGCATAGAAGTCCGTGACTTAAAATTTAGTAACATACCCTAATCAAACTTTATTTTTCTATGTATTTTTTGCAACTTATGAGTGTTTTTAAAATAAAGTACCTGTGACTTTATTAGACAGATCTCTGTGTGTCTCAGTTTCCTAAAGACTGTATGCCGTTTAACTTAGGCATTTGTGGTCACCATAAACTCTCACCCTCAGCCTGCCTGACGAACCTCTGGTGACCAAATAATCCAAAGCAGCAGATTGGCTAATCAGTCTTATAAATGCACTGAGCTCCGTTCCTCATAAATCAAAGGCAGGGGAAAAGCACGCTTTCAGTCTAGCAATCATTTGCTCCAGCACAACAGAGCACCTTTAGTTTAAATAAAGACCACTAGCTACTTACTTCCATTTCTTTTTTTTTTTCTATTTTAATTTATACTATAGAGCGCATGTGCTCACAGGAGACAGACAGAGACACAGAGAGAGGGGGAAGTGGGGAATGACCACAACACAATCCCTTCTCCATTCTCCTGGGATCTTGAACATGCACATGCACCCGGCGTGATTTTGAAGCCACTGGGTTCAGGACTGAAATCGTGGTCAGCCATGTGGGAGTCCAGCACCGTAAATGCTATGCCATCTTCTGGCCCCTATATTGCTGTTTTGAAAGTTTTTAGAGACCAGCAGATGGTGTAACTGTTACATCACTGGATTCCCATGTAGCTGACCAAGGTTCGAGTACCGGATCCTGTGGCTTAAAACTCACACCAGGCGTGTCTGCCCAAAATCCCGAGAGTTGAATGGAGGAGAGGGATTGCAGTGTGGTCATCCCCCCGAGAGAGTGATTTCTTGATTTCTATCTCTCTGTCTCTCCAATGAGTGCATGCCCCCTATAGCAAAATCTCTCTTTAAAAAGTTTTTATTTATTAGGGGAGAGGGAGAGAGGCACCCCCAAGAGAGACTTTATGCAATGAACCCTCCCCACTGGGCCCAGCTTCAGCTAGCCATGGGCATGTGCATGTACCCCACATGCACAGGGAGACCTCAAGACATGAACCTGGGACCGCCCATGTGGAAGCACTGCATTATTGCTGGCCATCAGGCAGGTCGTACTTATTTACACTTCTCAAAGACCCAAAGGGAACACAGAGACCACTGCGATGTCTCTACAATCCCCCTTTCATGTCCCTCGTGCCCCTCACACTGCAACAGCTCTGGACCTCTCCATGCATCTTTTTGAAAGTGTCACATTCATCCAGATCTGATAGACTTCTTGCAAGCAACACCTTTGAATTGGAATCACGGATATTGAAAATAGGTTTTGCCAACGTGTTAAAATATATAAATAACACATCCTTCATCCCCCTGCACTTAAATACTTCATTAAATCCCACAAGCTGAGTGTCTCATGCACCTGACTACCTGAGAGAATTGGTTTTCTTCCCCACTTCTTCAAGGAAATAGAAGCTTAAAGAGTAAGGTGCTTACTCTAGGGAAAACATCTCATAATTTCAAAGTTTGCTCTAATCCCTTAAGTACATTGTACACACAGGTGGGACTTCTTGCAGCATGCTCACACCGTCAGCTTTAACTCTTTGCACAAATCTGGAGTCATCCTTCCCTCCCCTGGTAGGCCATTAGCTCTCGAATTACAAAGGCTCTTGCAGTAAGTGAACAGTTGTGGATTTTCTTCTGTAAACCATTTAAAAGTAACTAATCCAGGAAATTAAACAAAAATCTCCTCGCTCTTAAAAAGTCCTCCTCTGCCTCATTTTTTTGTCCCTTTTCCAACTTTCCCGCAATGTCTCCGCTAATCTCACAGCCATCTTCTTCCAGCAACTCCCTGGCATATGCCACGTGTTTGTGGTGATTGGAATTCCTTTTCAATCTATCTTTCGAGTTTCTTCTGGTCTAAGTGCTAGAACCATTGTCGTCTCGTCACCCCTTGGTCTTCTCCAGGCCTCCTCGTGAAGGGAAGGGAAATAATGCCAGGGACTTAAAGCTAACCAAAATGTTTCCTTCTAACCACAAAGCAAATTGTTTTTCTAGGGCGAGGTTAACATCACACATCTCAAAGCTGACTTCTGGGGATGGTGGCCTTCAAGAGAAGCCACAAGCTTAGGTGCTCTAGAAGCACACCCTGTGATGGAGAGCACACCAAGGAGATACACCTGAGAACAAAGGTGACTGGCAGGGCTGAGGGGAGGAAGAAGTTGACCTGTAACACTGCTGCAATGGAGGCCTCACCCAATAGTTTGTTTTGTTTTGTTTTTTTTGAGAGATTTTTGCTAGAGGGAGTGTGT